CAAAAAAAAAACAACAAAAAAACAATGCCATTTATGAAATCAGCGACCTCAAATTAGCTTAAGTCTTAACTCTTACGCCGCAAAATGTGTGTTGACCAGTGCAATAATAGAACATCTCCATTTATCAAATCAAACGGGATAGTTACCCACTCAGCCCGCGTAAGACCTGACAGGCAGCCGGACTCCTAAAAGACCTAAGTTGCGTCGATGGAGGCGTAAAGGGTATATACATCGTTCCGGGCGACACACGGGGTTATTTAGATTCATTTCAAAGATTCACCACGCGATCTAAGGTTAGAATTGCGTGAACATTCAAGTCATTTGCAGTACCAGTGGCCTAGTGCGTAGATTCTCGGTCTCGTAACCGTAAGGTCGTGAGTTCGAATCCCGTCATTGGCCCGACGTTGTTTCCTTGGGAAAGCCACTTTACACTAATTATTATTATTATTATTATTATTATTATTATTATTATCATTATTATTATTATCATCGTAATTACATCTCATTATTATTAATATTATTATTATTATTATTAATTATTATAATGTATCGTTATTATTATTGTTATAATGATTATTATTATTATTTGGCGCTCATATGACCTTATGCAATTGCGAGCGCCGTAAAGCCTCAAAGAAAAAGACTGTTTTAAATATTATTATTATTTATCATTATTATTGTTATTACCACTATTATTATCATTATTTTTCAAGGCTTAGCTTGACATCAAAGAGTAGCAGGAATCTACAACTTATAACTGTTGCTTTCAGTCCACATAAATACGAGAGGCGTTTAAGAGGCGGGCAGCTTCGTCCGTGTCTGTCATGACCTAGCCAACCAGAGACGGATACCACGTCCCAGCAAACTGACCGAGATACTGTAGAATACTGTGAAAATTGTCAAAAACAGTCACCTAATAATTATATCGAGGAGAAAATGACAATGACAATGACAACTTTTATTCATCTTGTAGGGAGAAATTTGTCTTGGTCGTTAACAATGGCAGTAGACGTTACAAAATATAGACCTAAAGGTGCACTCACGCAAACGCACAACAAGACAGGACATTAGGCAAAGTAAATACATGCCTCACGTGCTGGGACAACCCGCTCCGTAAA